TTTTTTGAGACAGGGTCTCACTATGTAGTTGAGACTGATCTGGAACTCACTATGTAGCCCAGGCTAGTCTTGAACTCACAGTGATCCTCCTGCCTCAGCCTCCTGAGTGCTGGGATTAAAGGCATGCGCCACCACACCTGGCACAGTGGTCAAAACTACCATTTACCTGAACATGGATGGTTCTTCTTGTCTTTCAACACACTAGAACAAGGCAAGCCTGGCAGATATGGAGGCATTGTCTTTTCTACCAGTAAAACTAGCAATTAAAATCCAAGATCTCAAGTCCCCCTTTCTCATGAACTCATTTCCATACCCTCCTGATGTTTCAATTAAATCATTATCTCCTCTCCCTGATCAGATTTGTAAGCAACTTAAGGACAGTAGTGATATTTTCTTATGATTAGAACTTTCCATGTAAAAAGCTACAAACATCTTCAAAACATTACAATCTAGCCAGGCATGCTAGGGTATACTCCTATAAACCCAGCCCTCAAAGAGGCAGAGGCAGGAGGATTGCTCCAAGTTCAAGGCCAGACCAAACTACGTAGTGAGACCCTGCCTCAAAAAACAAAACAAAATAAAAAAACATTACAATCTAACCAATTATTCTATGTTCCACTGACCCAGAAATCAAAAATAAGTAAAAGAATTAATAGTTTTTAATAGAATTTAACTGCTTTTTCTTATACCCTAAAGTTTTGATGCTGACTCTACTTAATAAAGGATACAGAAAAATCATGTTAAATAAAAAATTGAATCCAACTGGCCCAAAAAATAAGAAATTTGTGATTAATCTCCATATCTGTAGGAAAAACAAAATCAAGAGAAAAATGGATTAAATGAAATACATTACCAGGAAACATTTCTGTATTAAAAGGCATCCTACTTTGCAGAACAGAAAATAGTGCTTTTATACATAAAGTATCAAAATCTATTGAGTCCACAGATACAAGGTAAAACTTCAGGGATCAGAGGCAAATACTCAAGTTCTAGTCTGAACAGTCAACTGTTCAGAGTAAGGCTCTACGAGTCTAATTGGGAGATAAAAAGGATTCACATTCATGTTGGGTACCCTGATACATCCTTTTCTACTGAATCCATCTACACCCACAACCATTCACACTGGTAGAGTTCTTACCATTTTAAAGTGTTAAACACAGTCTACTCTCTCACCATCTTAATAATCCTGTGACACAAAGAAGCAGACACTAGCATTCCCATTTCATGTAACTAGAAGACTCGGATAACTTTAAATAGCTTGCCCAAGGATAAATAGCTTGTAGAGACTCTGATCTCAAATCCAGAACACCTAACTTCAAATACAGATGCAGCATCTTCAAGTCTAACATCAAGCAAAGTCAAATCAAGAGAGAAGCAATACCTGGCTGGAGCTACGGCAAATGCCCCATGAGTGCTGAAGGAAGAGGACTGTGACAAGACGATACAGAGAATAGCTTCATGTATCATAAATTTCTCCAGTATCAGTAGCTATTGAACCTCATCCTACCACATTTCCCCCAAAATAAGATTGAGCCTTATGTTAATTTTTGCTCTAAAAGATGCAATAGGGTTTATTTTCAGGTAATGTCTTGTTTTTTTCATGTACAACCTACATTTATGTACAACAATCTACATTTATTTTTATTCATGTACAAAAGTCTACATTTATTCAAATACAGTCATGTCATCTTCTTTTGGAACACTGTCATAATTCCAAACCCCAAATTCTGGCCAAATTTCTTGCAACTCCATTTCCTGTAGAATCACTGGCCCCAGTTCCTCATGTTCAGCAATGAGTTCTCCTTAAATGAGCACTTCTTGTCCACGTTCCTAGTGCATTAGCAACACAGCTACCATTGACTTTATGAATTCTTCACTCAACTCATGACCTCTTGTAGTCTAGGCTCCACAAAGTTTTCATTAAATCAAGTGTTAACTGAAAACATATGAGACAGGAGTGGCACCAAAATATGACAGTTAAGGATGGTCCACACACAAGTGAAAAACTGTAGGCACTAAAATTCAGAAAAAGGTTATTTAACAGAGCGCATAAAGTATGTCTGTTACAACACATGACATACTGGATTATGAAGACTAATATCAGACCCAACCTTATCTATGAATTATTAAGTGCACATTGTTATTTTTGTGCTGTGTCTGTGCTCTGACTGGTCATTCAACAATAAGTCTTGAGTTCTTCTGTTTACATAGGTGTTTACCTCTTGTCCAAAGGCGCTGCAACAAATAATTATAACTTATATTATCATTTTAAGTATAAATGTCAATATTATTTATATTTAATTATACATTAATATTATTCTATAATTCAATGCATCTGTTGTGTGTTGCAACAAACATACTGACTCTCTTAACGGGGTTATTTTGGGGGTAGGGTTTATATTATGAGCATCCCAAAAAGTCATGCTAGGGCTTATTTTCCAGGTAGGTATTATTTTTGGGGAAATATGATAGTGAGAAGGCAAACAACTGTAAGGAAAGGAGCAAAGACAAGAATGAGGCCACATAAAAGTTGCATCTTGAAAGGCAAGCTGGATTTCAGTGAGTACACAGGAAATGCAATACATTTGAGATAGGGAATACCATGTGTAGCAGCAGAATTACTGCTTTTAGAGTCTCTCTTCCACATACAGTATATATGATCATCCCGGAGTAGCATTTTAATCACTATTTCCCACTGTAGTCTAACAAACCAACATACTATTCTAGATGTTGGTCTCTTAGAGTTGTGTTAGTATGAGCTGATCCCTGGAGAAGGATCAATTTAAAAGCACTACCACAACAGGAGTTTATGAGCTGGACCATAAAAAAAAGTTGGTGGGTGTGCCCAGACGGTAACTGAACAAATCAGGGTCATCCTGTGTGACTCTCCCTGGGCAGCTAGCTGGTCATTCTCCTCTTAAACTACAACGCTAAATCTTTACCAGTGATATCTAGCAAAACTATACAGGAAACTTTAAAAGTACAGATCCTAAATTTCTACCCTTGGTGATTGTGATCTGGTATATGATGAAGAGCTTGGAAATCTCTTAAAAGTTCCCTGATTCTAAAGGGTATCCCAGGCTGCTTTACAATATCAATAAGACTTATAATCAAAAGTTGCCAATGGATTCTTTTTTAACAATAGACACTATATGGCAGAATTTGCTATAAGTAACGAAAACAAGAAGAAATGGGAACAGTAACTATACTTAAATGGAACACTTACTTGAAAGTGTTTAAAAATTAATTCAGGATTGAAGTACAACTGAAAAGGTGTTATCAATTCCAACTGCTGAAATAGAAAAAGAACTCCTTAAAACAAATCAATCAAGAAACAAAATTTTGTCATTTTCAACACAAGATTAGTAGGTGCAGCAATTTTCAGTCACTTTAAGTCTTTTTAGATCAGAGATAAGGCTTGTAGAGAATCCTCTAGAACTGCCCCCGTAATTCTTTGTATCTTCAATACAATTCTTTATATCAATTCTTTGTATATTCATACCTAGCAATATGAAACTTTTATTTTGCAAAACTTGAGGATGGCACGAAGGCAGACACAGGAGGTGTAAAAGCAGTTGCTACCAATCTGCCCACCATGTGGTCAGCACCTGGGACAGCTGGGTGAAGCAACACAACTCAAAATAACTGAGATTCGAGACCCTGCTACCATTAGGGCTGGGTGCCGTCAGCCCGCCCCTTAACATCCCCAGACCCTCTTATTTAATGTTTCTTTTTCGATAATTTCCAGCGTTCTATATCCAATACCCAAGTCTCCTCACTTAGCGGACTTTCTTCCATTAGATACTACGGAAAAACCAGACAATCGCTAAAGATCTCATACAGATTGTTTGGGTGGGCGGCTCCCTCAGCCCTGACCCGCTATAGGTTCTGATTTCATCTCAGCAACTGACCTGATTCCCCACGAAGCAGCCCACCCTTCTTAGGTCACTGGATTAGCATTCTAGGATCTATTCCGAGCCCTAGAGTTAGCCTCCGCCCACCCCTCGGACCAGACCTTCTGAGAGTCCCCCAGGCCCAAATCCCAGTTTTCTACAGAACTAGTCCCATCCATCCCGGAAATTAGAAGGCGGCGCTCTGAAACTGCTCACCACGGCAGCTGTGGTGAGGACGCAAGCAGTGGTGTAGGCGCGGCTGACCGGTGGGATCTGTAAGTACTCCAGCCGTAGGCTCTGGTACGCCATCTTCCTTTCCGCCAGCGTGCCCAAGGGGCGGAGTGGACTCAAAAGCCCCTGCCTTTAACCTGCCCACTGCTGTCCAATCAGCGCCGCGCAATCGGCCGTCCACTCATTGCTAGCGCTCAAAGGACCGCTCATTCACCAATGACCAGTTGCGTCTCCGCGGGGGGCTGGGAGGGGTCTTCTTTCTCCGCCCACTGACGTAGAGGAAAGGAGAGAAAGTACCGGTTCCTTCTGCCAATCCCAGCAGGCCACAGCTAGCTTTCCTTCCTGGCCTCTTTCGGTCACCAATCAACGTACCCACTCCGTTCCGACAGCTAGCCAATCAGGATGGCGATAGCATCCCGCCTTTGCTTAGTTCACGGACGCTCTTAAAGCAGTTGGAGTTTTGAGGACCATCGCCACCGCCCATCTTTGGCTGCTTGCGATTGTGTGAAAGGAGGTGAAGCGTGTGGTCGACTTCATCACTTCTATGGTTGCTACGGTAAATGCCTCGGGGCTGCGTTTTCTCTGAGGAGGAACAAGGGGAGGCGGGACTGGGTTAGGCATCACCGCAGGGGCTCCGGAGTGGCTTCTTGGATTAGCTTCTCCGCTGGGCCGCTGGCGCCGATCTTTAGGTCCCAGCATGCAACGGGGCCGCAGGGCCCGACGGGAGCCCAGAGCTGGCCTGGAGCCCCTCTTGCTCTGCGCGTTCTAGGTCTCAGCGGGTTTAGTCGCGGGTTCTTCGGCGGCTAAACTGTCTAAAATGGCCTGGCCTTTTCCCGCGTTTAATCTCCGGGACTCCCAAGTCTAGCAGAGAAAACAGGACGATGGAACCTGACTAGACAGAGGTCCTGATGGAAATTTAAAAGTAGGAGTGGGTGTGTCCTCAGTTCAGTGTTTTTGAACTATTTGCCCAAGCCTTGCCTCCACCAGGGAAAGGAAACAGCTCCATTTGGTGGGAAAGACTAACTTGATGGTGACGGAGGAGGCTAAGAAGTTCATATTAAACTCGGTTGGTGTACAAGGAAATACTGAAAAATTTTGGAACGAGGGAATGACCATCAAGTCTGGTAATACAAGAAGGAGTCAAAAGGTTGGAGAGAGTGGTTTTTTAAAAAGTAAAAAGTTTAAGGTGAGGTTCGGTGATGCACGCCTATAGGCCCAGTTACTCTGGAGGCTGAGGCAGGAGAGTATCTTGAGTCTTGTAATCCCTAGGCCAGTTTGTTTCTGACCAGGGGAAGCAAGAGAGGACTCGGCAATTGACAGAAATCTAACCTGTTGAGAAAACAGTGCTGGTTTATTGCTTATCGCAGGAAGGGAGAACTCTACCTCAACAAAACGTTGACATAATAGGGAACACAGTCAAGACTGGAATTTTTTTTGAGAATTGGAAATTTGGTTTATAGTGGTTCTTTCAGTGTAGGGTTTGGTTAAAATTGGCTACAAATTGTGAGACAATCCAGAAGTGGTTGAAATTTTGAGGCAAGAGTTTTAGAGTATTGTAGAATACAAGTGTTTATTTTTGTTGAGATAGGATCTTGCTTTGTAGTTCAGGCTGGCCTTGAATTCACTAGGTAGCCCAAGCTGGCCCTGAACTTGAGGCAGTCTTCCTGCCTCAAAACCTCCTGAGTGCTGGGACTACAGGCATGAGCCACCACGCCTGGCCAGATTGTTGATATTTTCAAAATGACAGTGTTTTACAAACAATTTTTTATATACCAATTGGCAAATATTAGAATGTTGAATAGTATCAAGAGTTGGCAAAGATATGAAAAAGAAATTCTCATCTGCTGCAAGAGGGTATAAGCCAACCTAGATATTCTGGAGGATATTTTCACAGTATTTGGTGAAATAGTGTGAGTAAAGTATGGCCCAGCAATTACCTGTGAAAATACCTGGCAAGTCTGTAAGGATACATCATGGAAAGATGCTCATTACATTTATAGTAGTAAGATGCTGGAAGCAAATAAGGTATTTGTCACAAGAATAAATGATGTGAGATATCTATATATCTATATAGATATACATGATAAAATTGATGTTAATGCTTTAGTTGAAACCAGTGAAGTAAACTTGACTATAATAATATGAAATGATCACAAACAAAAATGTAAAGATGGGCCGGGGATTTAGCTCAGTGGTTCCATCGCCTGCTTTGCAAGCACAAGGTCTCGAGTTCGATCCCTGGTACCAAATAAATAAATAAAAATGTAAAGATACATTTATAAAACTATTGTTAAGGATCTAACACCTATCTAAAGAAAAAGTTGAATTGAAAAGATGGATGTTAAAATCAGATTAGGTTCCAAGGATGGAAACGCAAAGTAGAATAATAAGAGAGGACTTACTTAAATGAATCAAAAAGAGAAATACTATCAAGGTCAGTTATGCCCATGTAAGGTACTTAAAAAGAGCAGTGTAATTAATAAGGCTCATGTGATAAAGGCCCTTGTAAGTCATTTTGGAAGGATTTAAACTTGATCCTGGAGGCACAGAGGTGTTGAAATAAAAATCCTGCTAACCAGGGAGTCCTCTGCAAAGAGAAAATAAAGCAGTTTTGTTATTGAATAACATAACTAGATTACAATGGATTGTAGATAATCTGTAAATGAAATAAAAACAAATTCTACCTTCTTATACAGCCATACAGGTACAACAACTCCACTTTAAACTGTTACGTACATAAATTCTCAAGATTGTTAGCATCCTGTCTTATAAGACTTGACTCTTTGCTGCAGTTCTTTCCAGAACCTCATCCTAATTTCACCTGGCATTTTATACTGGTTTATATTAGCTACATTCCTTTAATCTGAAGGAGTAGTAAAACTGTCTTATGGTTAGAGCTAGGACAAAGATGCCAGGTTAAGCTCCCTCAGTGACAGGGATATAGAGTGATAATTTCCTAAATGTTTATAATAGAGAGGAACGACTCCCAGACCCTTTAAAAATCAAGCCTCTTAGTAAGTGGCTTGTTTATCTTCTAATTGGGTTTTTTTTCATAGATGGGTAAATTGAAAGACAAGGGAATGGAGGACATTTAGAATGGGGTATGTAAATGATGGATCACAGGGTCTAAAAGGAATGGAGAAAGATGTGAGAGACAGAGCAAGAAAGGATTAAAAGATTAAGTTCAGTGTGAATGTGTGAATGACAGTTCGAAGAAACACATAGGAGGTTGTGGTTAAAAACAAAAAGTAGGCGCTATTAGGGAGAAAAGTGATAACTATCAAGACCCAGGTGGCACAGAAGATAGAGGTACATGCTACTGAAGCTCCAGAATGTCTAGGGCCATGGTGGCAAACCTATGACACATGCTGTGTTCAGCCATTTATTACCATTGGTTCATCACCATCACCGGTCTAGGGTATCATATAGGTCATCTGTTTAAACTCTAAATCCATCCAGGATAATATCAATTTAGAAGATTGAGCTATATGCTTAAGTCTTCAGTAATGAAAAGTAGAAGAAATGAATGATGGAAGCTAGGGAGAGGGTCTAGATTGGGGAAAGAGCCTCAGAAAGGCAAACTTTTATATCCTTTTGTGAACAAGTAAGGATAGAAATAATATCAGGTATCAAGGAACACAAACTTTTTTATTGGGGCCAGGGATTTAGCTCAGTGGTCCCACCATCAACCTTGCAAGCACAAGGTCCCGAGTTTGATCCCCAGTTACAAACAAACAAACAAACTTTTTATTTGTAATCGTATGATTTGTTTCTTTCCTTGTGATTTTTTTCTATCCAAATGAAAATTTTCTTTTTACATTTGCAGGCTTTTCACAATTGAGAATAGCCAAATAAAGCAAGATGTCTGTGGATCCAATGACCTATGAGGCCCAGTTCTTCGGCTTCACACCACAAACTTGCATGCTTAGGATCTACATTGCATTTCAAGACTACCTGTTTGAAGTGATGCAGGCTGTTGAACAAGTAATTTTGAAGAAGCTGGAGGGCATCCCAGATTGTGACATTAGCCCAGTCCAGATTCGTAAATGCACAGAGAAGTTTCTTTGCTTCATGAAAGGACATTTTGATAACCTTTTTGGCAAAATGGAGCAACTATTTTTGCAGTTGATTTTGCGTATTCCCCCGAACATTTTGCTTCCTGAAGATAAATGTCAGGAGACGAATCCTTATAGTGAGGAAGAATTCCAGCTTCTCCAAAAAGAAATCAAAGAGTTACAGGAGAAGTATAAGACTGAATTATATACTAAGCAAGCCCTTCTTGCAGAATTAGAAGAGCAAAAAGTAGTTGAGGCCAAACTCAAACAGACCTTGACTTTGTTTGATGAGCTTGAAAATGTTGCCAGAGATCATGGGACTAGTGATTTTAGGGAGAGTTTGGTGTCCTTTGTCCAGAACTCCAGAAAACTCCAGAATATTAGAGACAGTGTAGAAAAGGAAAGTAAAAAGCTTAAAATATCTTAATTTCTATATGGTAAAGAGAGTCTGTCAAAAAGATTTTCTTCACTCTTTTTTGGTTTCTATATCTTATTCTTTTTTTCTGTCCATTCTCTTAAAGTATCTGTGTACTACCTTGAACTAGTCTCAGAAACATCTGTTCATTAGAGACTTCCAACAGCTGGGAAGGGATTCTTGATGTAATAATGACTCATTTGGCAGCAAGTTCAAAGAAGTGAAACTATGGCCAAAAATGAAATTGTGCTTAGGTCATGAGTCCTTTTGTGACCTTGATCCTCTTGGCTTATTCTTTTTTTGTTTTGTTTTGTTTTGTTTTTTTGAGGCAGGGTCTCACTATGTAGTTGAGACTGACCTGGAACTCACTGTGTAGCCCAGGCTGGTTTCGAACTCACAGCGATCCTCCTGCCTCAGCCTCCTGAGTGCTGGGATGACAGGCGTGTGCCACCATGCCTGGCTTGGCTTAGTCTTTGGATTAACCAAATATAATAAGTCCTTGATTTATGAACAAGTTCCTTTCTGGGTAACATTTGTAAGTCAAATTTGCTTTTAAGTCTGACAAAGTGAGTCTTACAAGTCTTTGAGATAAATATACAATGTAAAGTATAAATTAAACACAGAAGAATGAGCAACATCTATCTTTTTGCCTCAGTCCATTCCCTCAACTATCTTCACTTTTGTTTCTATGGTTATTGCTTTGTGCTTCCTAGCAGTCCCCTCCACATCACCACTGCTTTTCCTCTTGTTTCTGGACATGCTGGGCTCTGACTGAGCACTGTACTACTGTACACTATCTCACTGTACAGTAGGCACACAGCAGTACAACTGTGACAGTCTAGCAGGCATGTGAGCTACTTCTGCAATTTGTTTCATTTATGAATGTTCATAAAATGAGGTCTGTTATCTGTGAAAGTTTGCAACTTGAATGTTCATACATTGGGGACTTAACTGAAAGTAAAGGGTTAAACAGGCAACTTTTTAAACTAGTCATTACATTGTGGAACAACTAACGTAGAGGGCTTGCTTTTGTCTCTTATATGAGGAAGTTAATAACTGGTTGAAAGAAGAAAGTATCAGAAGAAGTGATCAAAATGGTGTCATAGGTCTGTAATCCCAGCAGTTGGGTGGCTCAGGCAGGATAATTATGGATTCAAGGCCACGCTGGGCTACATAGTGAATTCAGAGCCAATTAGGACTACAAGTTGACCTTGTCTGAAAAACAATTATTTGTTTCTAGAATAAATCTTTTCCACAAGCAAGATCCTAGTGATGTTAAGCAGTTTGCTACCTTGGAGTGCAATAGAAGACCTTGGACAGAAAAGAAGCAGATCCCACTGGAAAAGGAAGCACTGGAGCTGGGGATTTAGCTCAGTGGTTCTGCTACCTGCCTTGCAAGTGCAGGGACCCAAGTCCAATCCCCTGCACCAAAAAGAAAAAAAAAAGAAAAGTATGGGATATACCCAATAATGAAATTTACATTTACTGACTCTTAGGGTTTTTTCTCTTTGTTTTGTAATGGGAATGGAACACACTTTGCACTGAAGCTACAGTGTCTGAACTAATTCTCTTAGTTACCCAGACAGTGCTTGATTTTGCAGTTCTGTCTCAGCCTCCCAGAATACTAGGATTATAGGGCTATGCCACTGTGCCTGGCTTGACTAGATTTTTTTATCAATGTTTTTCATACTAAAGTTAGTTTTGAAGCCAGGTGTGGTAGTGCATGCCTGTAATTCCAGCACTCAGAAGGGAGGCAAGAGCATCACTGGCCTTTTGTGCAGCGATCCTCCTGCTTCAGCCTCCTGAGTGCTGGGATTACAGGCATGTGCCACCATGCCCAGCTCGTAATGCCTTTTGACCAGAGGTGGGCATATAGTCTCAGCCAGGCCAATAAGACTTAAATTTTTAACTTTTGTTTTGTTATGGTGGTACAGAGCATTGTGCATGTTAAGCATTTACCATACCACTGGGCTATACTTCCAGCACCCTGGAACAGAGCAACAAGACATAAAGACCCAAAATGTGGGCATGTTCATTTTTATGGTCAGATGCTTAAAAAGCTATCCATCAGTAGTGAGCAAACAGGGAAAAGGTTGATATTTTGGAGAAGACCTCGTACTGTAAGCTCAACAGTTAGAAGACAATTGAGAACTCAGTATAGGGAAGCAATCACCAGGGAATGTGTGAATGATGAAGGCATATGTGACCACATGTTCTGGGACAAATGATAAGAATTGGTCAGGCCAAACATGATGCTAAAGAATGGTGTGAGAGTAGTAGCAATTTGGTATTAGAAAAAAACAGACCAAAAGAACTCAGTACAACCAGAAGTTACAAAGAAAGTGAGCAGGTACAGAACAAAGTAGTAGGCCAATAGGGAGAGGATGTGGGGAATGGAAAGAAAGTGATTAAGTTTGAGGATGGCAAATGGGGAAAATGTAAGGATAGAGTACAACACTGAAGCGATGAGAATTTGAGAAACGAAGGGGGTCAAATGGGTCTTAATATTAGTTGTTTTTGTGGTGCTGGGGACCCAACCCAGGGCCTTGCATATGGTAGGTAATTGTTCTACCAATAAACGACATCTCCAGCATAGAGCTGGATATTTAGAATGGCAAAGCCAGTTTTAAGTTTGTAGAAGCAACATTATATTAATGGTACATTAACAGTATATTAATAATATAGTTGAAAGAACCAGATAGGTATTTGAATTAGGAGTAGAAAATGGAGATCCAGATTTGGGAGAACAGGAAGGGCTATGATACGGTACAGTAATGTGAGGAATAGGAACTTTGGCTCTGGGAACCAAGAGGAGGATTCTATCAGGAGAGATTAGGCAATGATATTGGGGGATTAAATGATTGTAAGATGAGAGATAAGAAAGGATATATGAATGGAAAATAAGGTGGTCAAATGAAGAACACCAGACACTGGGATACGATGAGAATCCATACTAAGGATTAGTAGAGGATCCAATGGTCAAGATTAAAAAGTGGAAACCTTTGTGGTGCCTTGGAGACATAATTTGCAGTTATTGTAAACTCTGAAGTACAGGCTGATATTGATGAATAGTTGGTGTCTTACACATAGCACTGAAAGTATATAAGGTTGAGATACCAAAGCATTCGGTAATACAGGATTATGGGAAGTAAGAATGGAAACGACAAGGCCCTATTAGAAAACACAAAGGCCTGGGCTAGCTGAACCAGGGAGCAAATTCCAAAGCTTATTTGAGCTGCGCTAAACCAGAAGTGCATAAATGCCACAGAGAAGTAAGTAGTACAGTGGTGGCGGCTCTGCTGTTAGCGGACAATTGAATTAGGCTGGTATGTTTTGAGGAAATACAGTGAAAGATGCCATTAAGGGTTCTCTAGTAGAGGGAGATACTGTGCCTCAAGCTATAAGGGTGAAATCTGTTTTGAAAGGACGGTGATGTTGGGAGGATAATGGGGTAGTGGGTATGATGGCATGCGCCTGTAATCTCAGTACTCGGGGAGACTGAGGCAGGAGGACCACAAGTTTGAGCTCAGCCTGGGCAATTTGGCGATTTAGGGAGGCCTTGTCGAAAAAGGCTGTGGATATAACTCAGTATGAAGCCCGTGAGTCCTCCCAGTACAGGGGTAAAAATATGGAGTAAAATTTGAAGCAGACTGCAAGTCTGACAAAGGTGCATTGTGCAGTTGGGAGTTAAGGTTTAGATCACGAATGACCCCAAAGGCCCATGTGCTCACAGGTGGCGCTTTTGGAAGGTAATTAAGTGATGGGGTTATAGCTGACTTGCTATTAGGAGATGGAGCCTGTTGGGGGAGGTGAGTCATTGGTGGGTGAGCTGAAAGGGTACATTGACCTCCCTGGCCTCTCCCTGCTCCCTGCTCTCTGGCCTCCATGATGTGAGCTATCTTCCTCTGCCCAGGCCCTTCCACCATGCCTTTCTGTCTTGGAGCCAGCTGGCCATGGGTTGTAACTGAGCCAGAATCTCTCCTGTAAGTTGTGGGTGTTGGGTATTTGTCCCAGCAACAGGGAAGTAAGACAGCTGGAAATTAAGGGGTAACTGATAAGAGAATTAAAAGGTACTTAAGGTACCTTCATTAGGGCTAACACAATTACAGACATTTCCATAAGATATATGCAGTATTGAAGCGCCGCATTTGACATTCATGAATAAACAAGGCAGGTGGGCGCTCCTGTTAGTCCTTTTACATCTGAGATGACACCCCCCACGGCACAAACTCTGTTACTGACATTCCTGGGCCTCTTCATATGGATTCTCAAAGCTCCAGAAGGGCTCAGGCCCCAGGTACAACCCTCCCACAAGAAGTCTCATTCTTTGGAGTGTTCCAGCTGGGCCCCGGTCCCTGGAGGTCTGCAGCCGCAGGTTCAACGAGGTCAGGACATGTCCTAGGCACGGCTCTTCTGGTAAGGACAACAAAGGCTAAGGCAAGAAAATGCGCACAGTCTGGGTCAAACTCAAAGACCTGGGGAGCGCAGCACTCAAACGCCTCACCTTGCCCAGCCTCAGAAGAACCCACAGCATGACCAGACCTTACTGCTGCCCGAGCTTGCCAGCTGCGAGCACAGCTGGCTCCTTCTGGGGGCAGTGCAGCGTCACAGGGTTCCAGAGTGCTAACCCTCCCCGCAGGACCCCTTCAGGAAGGTGGGGGGGTCCCTTAAGAAACAGAAGATTGGGCTTGTTCTGCGCTCTCCAAACACGAAATGCTGGGCTCTCAGCTGCGCATGTCCCCACATCGCAAAGTAAGCGTACAGAGACATAACCCTAATTATAAACGAGATTCAATCACACCACAGTTTTCTAGACGTTAGTTCTGTGGCCTCGTCCCTGCACCTGCAGGTGCAAAGAGCACTGTTATTTCGTTTCTGACGGATACAGTAACGGATGGACAGTTAGACAAAGCAAGCAACAACAGAAGAAAATAAACAGCATGGAAAGTTAGAGGAAGGGGATGCAGCGCATCTTCAAAACACATACTGAGCCCTTTTATCCTCCCTCCTCCGTCGGCCCTGCACACACCCCGTCCCGCCCTGGCCACTCAGGCAAGCTGTAAATGGATATAGGTAAAGATACAGGAAGTGATAGAGAAGGCGATGGCCGCGTAGATAAAGATGGAGAGGTGCGGAAAATGGTAGAGATAGCAGCGCTCGTCCAGGGGAGGCGTCTCCTCTTCCGGCGGGGTGCTCGGGTGGCCCTCGGAGGCGGCCCCGCGCGGACTCCCTGTGCCTTTTTGCCAGCGGCCGACCCCGACCTGGGAACGCAGGGCTTTTCCGGGGGAGGCTTGTCAAACAAGTCCTCGGACTTCGCTCCGCGCCCCAGGGCTTGCGTTGCAAGAGTCTGTCAGCCATTGGCCTAGCCTAGCGCGGGTAGATGGGTCTGCTGTGTCTGGGCGGTCAGTCAAGTCTAGGTAGGCTCTGTCCGAGCAGCTACAGACGCAGCCGCGTATTTCTAACCCCCGGGTGGAGGGGTGGCGGAGCCAGCGAGGCCAGGCCTCTGCAGAGAAGTGGCTTTCCCTGAGCTCCGCCTTCCGCCCACAGCCTGTTGCAGAGGTTGAATCTCTCGCTTCCAGAAACCTGGCAGGCTCACAAGTCAGTGAGTAGCTAGGTTTGTCTCCGTGGCAACCAGACTGGCGTCTCGCGGGGAGGATGTGTGAGCCACTAAGTGCTACCTCAAACAGGGCTCACTTAAACGGGGGATCAGCACGCAGGAAGCAGAAATGTGGGCGACAAGGTTCCCAGCTGCGTGCAGTTTCTCAAGACCAAAGAAATGTTTACTGAGAGATCTTTTAAAAAATAATTCTAATACTTGAAAAAACGATCTTGTAGATAACTTGAAATTTAGGAAGTGGTATTCGCAAAACCAGTAACAAAGCACCCCACAATCCCAAGGTTCAGAAATTGCATGGTTAGCGTTGGTGCTTTCTCTCCCTTCTTCCTCTTCCTTTCCATTTATCCTTGTGTCTGTACATCCTGTTTTCTCTTCTTGGTCTTCACCTACAGGACTCTAGCCATTCGGACATCTCACATATACTTAGGACCAAGGCCTTTCAACTATCCTTTTAAATTGAGCCCATTTCTTTTCCCAGGTCTACCCAGTCCCCTCTCAGACTTCTACTGTTATTACTACAGGCTTCTGGGCACCATCATCTCCTGGCAAGCTCTGCTGCCCAGGAGGTTTCTGAGGCTGGCTGGTGTGCTCTCTGACACCGGAAAGAGCAATTGCTGCCCAGGAGGTTTCTGAGGCTGGCTGGTGTGCTCTCTGACACCGGAAAGAGCAATTGCTTGAATTCATCTGGGTCCCAGCAGGCAGGCCTTGTCAGTGGCAGCAGATCCAACTGCCATCAGGGAGCTGGGGCCTCATTCCCAGGTTCCTCCAGCAGGAACAGGATCAAGGTGCTGAAATAATGTTACCAGGATGCTGTCTTTTTCAGTCTTATCCAGGGACTTCTTGCACAGGCAGAGACTACCAGGTGGTAGTGGAAGGCTCACATTCTTAGAGATTAGCAATTCCAGCTAAAAGAACAACTTGTTGAGACCCTGCCTCAAAATAAAAAATAAAAATAGGGATAGGATTGCAGCTCAGTGGTAGAGAGCTTGCCTCGCATGTGCAAGGCCTTGGGTTTGATCCCTAATATACTGCAGAAACAGACAAACAGGCAGCTCACTTGATTGTAAAAACAATCACACATTTAAATATTTCCCAAAGAATGGCGTCACATCCCCATAGGGAAGAATGAGATGATTTTAGGTGGCATATGAACATTTTTAAAAAACTAGCTCTTTGAGTAGTACTTATTTTGCTGTGTTTTAAAAAATAACCAACATACCAAATTCAAGCTTCTACACGTGTTCTGCTCACGACAAGCCTAGAAATTTTTCAGTGGGTATAAGTTAACTAAATTAAAAAAAAAAAAGAAGTAATTAAGCTCTATAGATGGTCCTTGGGTATGGCAAAAATCATCAAACCAGATTAGGAATGCCTAAAATTTAGAAAATTCTGGGGCATCATACAAGCACAATTGAAAAATACGATGAACTTTGATTTTTGTTTTTTTTTTGTTTTTTTTTGGTACTGGGGATTGAACTCAGGACCCTGCTCTTGCAGGGCAGGTGGTGGCACCACTAAGCTAAATCCCCAGCCCTGCTGTTGATTTTTGAAACAGGGTTTCACTATGTAGTTTAAGCTGGCCTTTGAACTACTATATAACCCAGGCTGGCCTTGAACTCACAGCGATCCTCCTGCTGCAGCCTCCTGAGTGCTGGGACTACAGGTGTATGTCACCATGACCTGCCATAATGTGATGAATTTTTAAATTTAAAAATTTAGTACAGCAAAAAACACATTGCCATTAATTCCCCTTCAGAATACTCCTCCTGGTTTGTGTGGGACCCTAAAAATCGGACCCAAATCCCAAGACCCCCCACTTAGCCTAATCAACTCTATTTTGAGCTGAAAAGCCATCCGGTGTCAGGGTCAAACTTCAATTGAACTCAGGCAGTAAAAAATTTGCTCAGTTTGCTTAATTTACTTAGTTGTGATAAGGACAGAGTCAGGTGGATGGGAGGAAGACCATTCCAACCTCAAAGAGAAAGAACAGGATGTTCTATGTAGATAAGAAGAGCATACCGCATTCCTGAGCACACTGATTCCTCTTTGAACCAACCCCCTCCCCAACCTAAAGTAAACTCCTTCCAGCTTTTGCAAGAGCCCTAGTAACATCCAATAAATTTAGAATGTTAGAGAAAAAACCAATAGAATAAAGAGAATTTCAAGCCACCCAAACCCTATAAAAATAGGCTAATTTAGTGGGTCAGGACTTCCAGTTTGAAGCCACTGTGTCGGTGACACTGGGAGTCCAGGCTTGAGCTTGCAATAAACTCCTCGTGTATTTACATCAGAAGAGTTTCCCAGTGGTCTTCTTGGGGATTTCGCGACTTGAGCACAACAGTTTTAAATATGTTTGAATATTTCTGAAACCATCAAAGTCATCTCTAAGTAGAAAGACCTGGACTTTCGGCCAATAGAGACTTGTTCAGCTATTTGCAAAGAACCTCTCCTTCAGACAGGACTTTCAAATATCTTTTCATCTTCCAGTACAAAATATTCTCACAATGTTTGGTTGAGAAAAGAGTTATACTATAGCCTATGAACTGGCTGATAAGAGCTAGTGGATAAATCAGAAGCACAGGACCTTCTTGAATTCAAACTCAATGATGAAACTATTTGTATTGATGTCATGGGGAGAGGGGGAGTCAGGTCAAGGAACTAGAACTAAGGTTGATGCTGGCTGTGTGACTGTGGGCCAATCTTTTCTCCTCAGAGGGCCTCAGTTCCCCATCAAATAAGGGAAGGGTTTATAATACTATTGCAGGTAGGTTGACATCAGCCCATTTCTCAGCCCTGAGAAAACTGGTACCACCTGTGAGGGAAGCAACTTGACAAGACATAGACAGTCATGAGGACATTTATGTCTGTTGCTATAATCATCCCATCCTTTAGTATGATTTCAATGCAGTGGTCTAGTGAATAAAGGAAACCTTAAAGTTCTCTGCAGGAGTATGTGTATTATAGTAGTGTTTAATCATGGGAGATTATTGGAAGCAAAATTGACTGTCAGAACAAGAGAATAATGGTTAAATAATGTTGCCTCTAGATTTTGGGGGTAGAAAGCCTTTTATGTACAAGGTCCTGGATTTGATCTTCAGTCCTAGCTGAAGAAGCTATTGCAACCAATACATGAGTCATGCAGTTATCAAAGGGAAAACTCTTAAGTAGCTTGAGGCACTCTTGTGATGGTCAAAATCAAAGCAAAAAAGTAGGGTTTAAAACTACATGCATCTGAATGATGAGCTGAAAATGTGTTCTTGCAGAGAAAAACTATAAGAAGAAAAGATGGTAATTTTTAACTTGTTTGGATGGTGAAATCATGGAGTGATCTCTTTTCATTTTTCCAGATCTTGTGCCCCATTGTTATATTATTTTTTTTATTTTTATTTTGTGCAACAAAAATAGTTAATAGGTGAGAAAATCAAAGTTATGGGCCCAGTGGCTGCTTTCAGGATTAACAATACCCTATAATGTTCTGATTGGTGTCCACACAGACCAAGGTCCTTACTCAATTATCTGGATAGTTCCATATTGCTTAGCAACCACCTGCTCAATAGCAGTTGCTAAGAAACCAGAGATAGAGCTAGATTCCTGAATAACAGCCCATTGTCCATTATACTGCCAGCCCCTTCCTTTCAATTTCTGTCTAGCAGAGTCATGTTCTCCTCTGCTCACTCTTTCTGAGCTTCTAGCTGCCTGGGGCTAAACTGCCTACAGTGTTCAGTGATGCGGCCCACCACAATATAGGTAGTCACAGGTTCCACAGGACCCTCTTGCTTCCTCTGGTTTAGGATTAGGACCTAGATCTGAGTATGTGCTTGGCTTAAAATTTAAAACTGTGGTTATCTCATCATTGAGACAAGTGTTGCCTGAACCCTCCATAGGATCATAGACCCTAGAGAACCCTGTCCCCTGGGGAGTAATTCCTCCAGGAGAGTTACTGAGCTCAGCTGAGGAGTTCCACCACCCTAGAAAGTCCTGGACCCAACCGAAGCATGAAATCCATGACTCTTGAATGAATTATTATTATTATTATTTTATTAATTATTTGCCATACTAGGGATTGAAACCAGGGCCTTCACAGCCCCTTTTAAACTTTAAGACAGGTTCTTTCTGAGTTACTAAATTCCCTAACCTGGACTTGAACTTGTGATCTTCCTTCTCAGTCTCCCATCTTCCAGGATTATAGGCATGTACTACCATCCACAGCTTGAATGAATTATTTTACAGAGTTCCAAGTAGCCTACTTTAATGAGGAAAACTAGGGTGAATTCATCCAAATATAATGATCCTGGAAAGCTCTCAACTTTCAGCCATTGTTGAGAAGGATCCTTACTTCCCTACACTTCTTATTCCCATCACCTCTATGGTATTGCCTCACCATCACCTTCACTTGAGGAAGTTGATCTTCTACCTCTAGCTAATCCTCAGTGACTGCTCTATTCAGGAAAAGAGCTGGAGAGATGAGCAAGGGTAACCATGAAATGTAGCCCGAGAGCCCCTGGGCCTAGAAGAACGTTCTGGGAATAGCAATTGACTTCTTTCTATAAGTGGGAACCTTGTTGTAAATAAATGAACCTGCCCTGTGTTCAGCCATGGACTTATTTCCTAGCTCATAGATGTTTCCCAAAATGTACCTCAACTCCACCACTGGGGCCTAGATTGCCTTTTTCTAACCTACTCACAAGTCAAAGGGATCAGAGGTGTTTCCAGTGTCCATGATCTGAAATTCTGAAGGATCACACTTATTTTCCTTCCAAGAACTAAGGAAGTGAGGAGAGAACCAAGTAGAGGGAAAGCCCTATCTTCTAAGTTGGACAATGGCAAACCTGACTGTCAGCTGAAGAACTCCTGGGTAGATGGTGTTTGATGGCAGGGATGAAGTTTGAAGAAAGTCATATGTTGCATTTTCCAAAATGGCCATTTCAGTGTCTGTGTCCCATCGTACATACTCTTCTTGCAAAGTGACTGACTCACCAACCACAGAGAGGTGGGGTAAAGTTCCCTCCCTTGGATCTGGGCTGAGGGTTGCTCTCACTATTGGACTATGATGGAAGTGGTACTATGGGACTTCCAAGGCTGAGTAATTCAAAGGTACAGATTCTGCCTGTCTCTGTCTCCATCTCTCTCTATTTCCATCTCTGTGTCTCTCTGTGAATCTCTGTGTGTATGTGAATCTCTTCCTTCCTCTCCCTTCCACTCTTCGCCCTGCCCACTCTTGGAGCTCAGCTACTATATTGTGACCAAGTGAATCCAGGTGCTCTAGCAGGAGCCCCAGCTATGATTTCAGCTCACAGTCGGCATCAAACACCAGATATGTGAGTGAGCAGCCTTTAAGCGATTCAGGTCCACAGCTTTTGAACTCCTCCAACTAATACTGAGTAGAGAAGAGACAAGTTCCCAATTTGCAGGGTCTGAGCAAAGTAAATTTTATCACTAAGCCACTAAGGTTTAAGATGCTTTGTTGTGCAATGGTAATAAGTAGAATTGTGGACAACTAGAACTAAAGAAGAATATGATTACATGAGAAATTAGGAAAGAAACTCAGTTGGAAATCAGGAAGAGTCACTACATGTTGAGGTTTGTTCTACGAACGAAACAAAAACAAAACAAGTTTCTGGGAACACTTATATACAAGTCTTTGAATGTATATGTGCTTTTGTTTCCCTTGGGTAAACACCAAGGAGTAAAATGTTTGATACTATAATCTTGGCTGCCAAGAACCTTAAGCCCTAAGAGCCTTATGAGGGAGGGTACCAGTATCTGTGCATCTTATTGGGAGATGGAACTTTAATTAAGCTGTTCACTCTGTACAACATAGTACCTCACACTGCTGTCTTAGTTACAGATGATATTTCTGAAACTGGTGTTTTCCCGGTTAAGCTTCTACAGAGACCCAGCATTCAGCCTTCTCCAGGGCTAAGGGGGAAGCAGTGCCTACATCTGTAGGCTGGTGAGTGTGGGGAGAGGTCTGGGGCCTACCCACTACATAGCTGTTCCTCAGACAGACTTCCAACAAATCCTGCTGCATTAGCCCTCACCTGTGATGAGTACCTGGGTGAGACCTAGCACTTCTGGGTCCTAGCTATTTCCTGGATTCTGCAGTGCAAATCAGCTTCTTCTGAAACTGCATCCTTGGGTTCAGCTTTCCTTGTACCATTGAAGCAGACTTGTATTCATCTGCTTTCCATCTTCTAATTTTGTGGTGACATCTAATGTGTTGTATTTTCTCCAGTTCTCCCGAGATTGTACTTGCTTTATTCCTTTAGGGATAGGTTAGTGGGATGTCAGGAGGTAACAAAGATTACTGTACTGACCTGGAAACCATTGCTAATTTGCATAATATACATCATATACATGTATTCATTCATTCAATAATTTATTGAGTACCAGGGACTTCTCTAGCATGTGAGTTGCATCAGTGATTTATGTATAATAAATAGAAAAATTAGGCTAGGGATTGTAGCTCAGTGGTAGAGTGTGTGCCTAACGTCTAGGAGTCTCTGGGTTAGAGTCCCAGCATCCCCCAACCTCAAAAAAAAGAAAAGAAAGAAAAACAGATGATTAGGGCAAAGTAGAGGAGATCAGGAGTATAGAGTAGGAGATACAGTGGTACCGTGGTTTAAGAGCTTAATTTGTTTTATGATTTGGGGGTAGATGGCTACATTTTTGTGTGGGGAAGATGGTTGTTGTGTTCGCCACCTGATGCGGAGTTTGCAAATGAAAGCAAAATTTTGCCAAATGCTTCTGTTTGCGAAACAAATTGCTTGCAAACAGAAGCCGTCATGAATCAAGGCACAGTGTAGTACAATATTAGAGTAGGTATGCCTGCATGCGAGATTTGAGTCAAGCTCAAAGGAGGTCTCTGGGGGAAAGATCATTTTAGGCAGAGAAAATACTAGAAAAGCCTTAAGGTAGAAATATGTTTATTAAGGAGGTCACATGGCAAGAACAGATGGAAAGGGGCTGGAGAATTAGGGAGGAAGGGTTAGATTTTTAAAATGTCAGTCCTATTTTTATATTGCAATCAAAATAACAGTAAATATCTGCTAAATCCAACAGCTATACCTCCACTATCAATAGAAAATAATTCTACAGTAATAGCATATCTAAAGATTAATGAAGATTAAGGGTTATACTAGTGAAGATGTAAGGGGTTGGGAAAGAGAGAACGAAAGAAGAAAATTTGAAAAACAATGGAAGTTGAGAAGGAGGAGACAAAAATGAGACAAAGGGCCCTAAGAAGTAGGATATTAATAAATTAGATAAAGGTAACACAAAAGAACTGAATAAGAATAAGGATAAAAAGGGAAAAAAAACATAAAAGGAAAAATTAAAAGGAGAAAATAAAGAAAGAAGAAGATAAATTTAAAAATTAAAAAATTCTCCCAACCCTAATTAACCAGTGAAAAAGAAAGAGAGAAGAGAGAAAAAAAATGGGTAAAAAAGAAAAATAAATTCTCTGTATGGTTGAATGAATGGTTTCTTTCCAGCATCCACAGTTTTGGAATCCAGCAAGTCACATTTTTGCCACCTAACTTTATGGCCTGTGGGCTTAAGAGGTAGGTGCCCCCTGTTCCAGAAGCCCCTTTGCCTGTTACCTCAGGCTGTGGCAACAGTTCAAGCTGAAGCATGTCCTTGTGTGATAGGATAAAAGAAATAAAAACTAGGTAGAAAGGAAACAAGGACATTGAGATTTTACTTTATTTGTTTGTTTATTTTTATTTTTTGAGCCAGTTTTGCTATGTAGTTGTTATGGTTCGTGTCTAAATGTCCCCCCAAAGCCTCATGTTGTCATAGGTGGGGTGGCTAGATCTAGAGTGTGTAATGCTTAGGTTAAATGTGTGATGCTGGGATTAAATGTATGATTCTGGGATCAATAATATGCGATTTTTAAATTAGCCCACTCATTGGTTTGGCATGATTCTGGGAGTGGATAACAGAACGGCTCCCATGAGAGGAAGACAACATTTGCATGAATGTTCAATAGCAGTGAGTTCATTTCTAAGATTTTGATTCACTGGGGTCAAGGGTGTGGCCTACTAATTTGGGAATTTTTAGTACCCCTGACTCTGGTATCACTGATAATATGATGGCCAGAGAGAGAATTAAAGGAAGTGTCCAGAGAAAGTTCCTTTGTCATTTTCCTGCTAATAAATCTTCACTCAACACCCAAGGTGTATCAGACACTGTACTAGGAGTTGGGAAAGAATTGATGGGCAGGTCAGACATAGTTTGCATTCTTAGGAAGCTTGCTGTTTAGTTGGGGGCAAGCAATGAAGCAACAGGACTGATGCCATACGTTGAGAGCTCTGATGAGGCAAGAAGGTTGCAAGGTTTTGGAGGAGCACAGAGCAGTGATGCCTAAGCCTGATGGAGGGCACAGACTCACTTGCCACAGGAAGAGACAATTCAGCTAAGACCTAGATGCCATTCTCCCTCCAACCTCTTTCTCCATCCCTCTCCTGGCCCCAGGAATTGATCTAGACCCTAGAAACAACAAAGCACACATCTGAACCAGTAGGAAATCTAATTCCCACGCGGACAATGGAGAAACCCATAGTTTCTGCCTCTCCTTTGTCCCGAGAAAGAGACAGCCTCAACTGCTCTGTGACCTGGCCATCTGCGTGAATCCCTGAACTATGGAATCTAAGCCATGGCCTTGTCCTTTCTTCGGCAGTGATAACATTGTTTAGGTCAAGATACTAAAAAACCCAATATATTGCTGAGCATGTAGAAACTAACTCTGGCCCAAAGTCAAATACCATAACCATCTGATAAATTACATGACCCAACGCCCTTGTATGGACACACTTGGATAGAATATCTTCTTTCTTTCTCACTGTCCATCTGGAAAATAATGATTCCCTTGATAAGTAAGTTCCCTTACCTAGTATTTTAGATGGATTATGCTATTTAGTGCTTTGTTGTTTGCAGTCCCAGCCAGCCCAATGTTGGAATGGTCTGGATAATCCCTGGTAAGAATTCCCCTGCCACCACTTTTAGGTCAACTGCAGCCATGGGATAGTTGGACAGAATAAATGATAAATAAATCTCATTCCTTCTTATTCATAAATGAAGCACAATTTCCAAGGGCATGTGTCTTTTCTACTTTGTGTCTCCAGGTAGAGATAAATAATCTCATGTCCCCTACTATTCCTGTCTGCATCTACATGGGACAGGGAGGATTTTGGCTTGGTGCTACAAGCAGCAGATGAGGCTCTGCAAAGTGTGCAGATCACTGTACAACAGTAAAAGGAGTTACTGAAAGAGAAGTGGTCTGATATTTCTCTCCTAGCACCAGCTAGACATTCCCTGAGATTCTGTTATCCCTCCCAAACAGCCGTCCCATGAAAGCCAAGGGAGGCAGTAGGGTGCCTATGAGGTGTCCCTGGACACGAACAAACAATGCCCAGAAGAGACTTCTTCCTTAACTTTAAGGCTACAGGTAACTCAGATGGCAACTTGTCCATAGATAAAGAAATGGAGACCCAAAAGAGAGCAGACAGATCGGGACTCAAAGGTGGATGTTTAGACCCCAGCTACTGAGCTGTCATAGTCCCCCCATGCCTCCGCCCCACTTTTCCCAGAGTTCCATGACCAAATGAGGATGGATCTCCTTTAGGGCTTGGTAGACTTTGTCTTTACAGGCCCGGTTCCAGGATCGGCTAAAGCCAAACAGCTTCCGCATCTGGCCTGGCTTGGTGGGCTCGGCCCGCACGCTCTCGTACTGCTCTTCACTCAGCACCTGTCCATGCAGCTTGTCCAACACAGGGTCCACTGAGGTCACTTGGGCTACCAGCTGCTCCCGGTGCTGGTCAATGAAGTGGAGTAAGGCCAGGGCATTCGGAGGTGAAGGTGAAGCTGGAATGAGCAAAGAAAGATTCCCACCTATGACTCCTCTTGTCCCTGGGAAGACAGACTACCGGAAATGTACCAATGCCTCTTTTCATGCCAGCATTTAGTTTTACATTATCTCTGGGTGTGGGGGAGGGGTTCACAATGGGGCACTGAGGCTGTGAGCAGGGACGCAAGAGCAGCCATGAACAGGAGTGAGGGGGTGGGCAGGCACTCGCCTCTGGCCACATGCCTTTCCAATCCAACCCCTGGTGAGGTTTGCAGGGAGAGTTCCCTCCTGGCCCTCATTTCTTCCCCTCAGGACCAGATTGTACACCTGAGTTCTGCCACTGTCTCCTGTGGTCTCTGACAGCTGTTACTGACCTAGGGAAACTGGATGGACCAGAGTAGCTGCAGGTCTGAGGTCTCCTGGAGAAAAAGAAATATGAAGAGACATCTGTAAGATTATGAATATGCCTGACGTACACCAAAACTGCCACACACTTCCGAGATTCTTTGATTCTGTGAACAAACCATAGTGAAATTCTGATAGAATCTGGAGTAAGGGCTGGGAGGGCCCTTGAACATTGAAGAATCTTTTCTTTATGCATATGAAAACTGAGCATATGATCATAGACTAATAAAGAGGGAGAAAGCACCTGAATAAGCAAAATAATTTCTGCTACAACTTCTCAGACTTGGATTTATCCTATCTTGGACTGCACTGATTTCCTGGTGGAGAACTAACCATGTTCCTTGAAAGAGAGTTTAAACAACCTCTGAATTCAGTTTGACCTAACAGTGCAAGGTCCTGAGTGGTGGTACTTTTGGCTTCATTTGGACCGTTGTGAGGGGATGTTCCTCACGCTCCATTTCATTGGACGGTCTTGGAGCCAATCCTAACTCAGGCTCATGCTGGAGCATCTACTGAGGAAGGTGAATGGGTGGTCAAAAATTTAAAGACAAAATCTAAGAGGAGGAATGGAAGGAACTGGAAACGTTTGATTTTTCATAAGGGGAGACATGATCACAGTGTTCCAATGTCTGAAGTTTTTTTCCCGTGGGGAAGATAGACTTCTCTAAGCTCCAAAGGACAGAATTAGACTGTTAAGAAAAAGAGGCTAATTTAACAAAAAGAAAAAGAACAATATATTTACCATTTATTAAAGACTACTGCATGAGCATGTCTAGACATCATTTTATTCAATCTCTCCAACAATTTGATCAGTCAGTAATTATGATCCTTACTGTGCAGAAGAGGAATCACAGACTCAAATGAGTTAAGAATTTTTCTCAGGACCATCCAGTATGTGCAGGAGTTGAATTCAAACCCAAGTCTGATGCTTGACTAGTTAATTCTCTACCTGTGGTTACTTCCATGCCAAGGATGAAGAAAGCCCATGTTCCTTTCACTACGCAGTAAAGCTTGTTTTATAGCATCTCTGAAGATCTGAATTTTGACCACTGACATTTGATAAAGCTAGTTGTTCCTAGAAGGACTGATTAGCAGACTTTTGGGGTGGTAGTGTTTGACTAAGAGAAACATTTTCTTACTCTTGAATTTTTTAAATTTGATTTCCTGATGTCTACTATGAAAATGTTGCCTGATCCAGGACAAAATGCAGAGCTGATTTAATCTATCAACCATATAACCCTATACATCTTACTCTTTTTTTTTTTTTTTTTTTTTTTTTTTTTTTTT